GCGAGGCGCCCGATTCGGCACGTCAGGCGCCGATGCTGCGCCTCAGGCGCCGAATGCTGCGCCTCAGGCGCTGATTCGGCACCTCAGCCGCCGAATGTGGGACCTGGTGGTTCAGCATCCAGCAGCCCGCAGCAGCCAGCCGCAGGCAGCAGCAGCAAGGCACCCGATTCGGCACCTCAGGCGCCGAATGCTGCGCCTCAGGCGCCTGATTCAGCACCTCAGCCGCCGAATGTGGGGCCTGGTGGTTCAGCATCCAGCAGCCCGCAGCAGCCAGCGGCAGGCAGCGACAGCAAGGCACCTTATTCGGCACCTCAGGCGCCGAATGTGGGACCTCGTGGGTCAGCATCCAGCATCCAGCAGCAGCCAGCCGCAGGCAGCGGCAGCGAGCCGCCCGATTCGGCGCCTCAGGCGCCGAATGCTGCGCCTCAGGCGCCGAATGCTGCGCCTCAGGCGCCTGATTCGGCACCTCAGCCGCCGAATGTGGGACCTGGTGGTTCAGCATCCAGCAGCCCGCAGCAGCCAGCCGCAGGCAGCAGCAGCAAGGCACCCGATTCGGCACCTCAGGCGCCGAATGTTGCGCCTCAGGCGCCTGATTCGGCACCTCAGCCGCCGAATGTGGGACCTCGTGGTTCAGCATCCAGCAGCCAGCAGCAGCCAGCGGCAGGCAGCGGCAGCAAGGCACCCGAGTCGGCACCTCAGGCGCCGAATGCTGCGCCTCAGGCGCCGAATGCTGCGCCTCAGGCGCCTGATTCAGCACCTCAGCCGCCGAATGTGGGACCTGGTGGTTCAGCATCCAGCAGCCCGCAGCAGCCAGCAGCCCGCAGCAGCCAGCGGCAGGCAGCTGCAGCGAGGCGCCTGATTCTGCACCTCAGCCGCCGAATGCGGGACCTGGTGGTTCAGCATCCAGCAGCCCGCAGCAGCCAGCAGCCCGCAGCAGCAAGCGGCAGCCAGCGGCAGCAAGGCACCCGATTCGGCACCTCGGGCGCCGAATGCTGCGCCTCAGGCGCCTGATTCTGCACCTCAGCCGCCGAATGCGGGACCTAGTGGTTCAGCATCCAGCAGCCCGCAGCAGCCAGCAGCCCGCAGCAGCCAGCGGCAGGCAGCTGCAGCGAGGCGCCCGATTCGGCACCTCGGGCGCCGAATGCTGCGCCTCAGGCGCCTGATTCTGCACCTCAGCCGCCGAATGTGGGACCTCGTGGTTCAGCATCCAGCAGCCCGCAGCAGCCAGCGGCAGCCAGCGGCAGCAAGGCACCCGATTCGGCACCTCAGGCGCCGAATGCTGCGCCTCAGGCGCCGAATGCTGCGCCTCAGGCGCCTGATTCTGCACCTCAGCCGCCGAATGTGGGACCTGGTGGTTCAGCATCCAGCAGCCCGCAGCAGCCAGCGGCAGGCAGCTGCAGCGAGGCGCCCGATTCGGCACCTCGGGCGCCGAATGCTGCGCCTCAGGCGTCTGATTCTGCACCTTAGCCGCCGAATGTGGTTCAGCATCCAGCAGCCCGCAGCAGCCAGCAGCCCGCAGCAGCCAGCGTCAGGCAGCGGCAGCGAGCCGCCCGATTTGGCACCTCAGGCGCCGAATGCTGCGCCTCAGGCGCCTGATTCTGCATCTCAGCCGCCGAATGTGGGACCTCGTGGTTCAGCATCCAGCAGCCCGCAGCAGCCAGCGGCAGCCAGCGGCAGCAAGGCACCCGATTCGGCACCTCAGGCGCCGAATGCTGCGCCTCAGGCGCCGAATGCTGCGCCTCAGGCGCCTGATTCGGCACATCAGCCGCCGAATGTGGGACCTGGTGGTTCAGCATCCAGCAGCCCGCAGCAGCCAGTAGCCCGCAGCAGCCAGCGGCAGGCAGCGGCAGCGAGCCGCCCGATTCGGCACCTCAGGCGCCGAATGCTGCGCCTCAGGCGCCGAATGCTGCGCCTCAGGCGCCGAATGCTGCGCCTCAGGCGCCTGATTTTGCACCTCAGCCGCCGAATGTGGCACCTGGTGGTTCAGCATCCAGCAGCCCGCAGCAGCCAGCGGCAGGCAGCTGCAGCGAGGCGCCCGATTCGGCACCTCGGGCGCCGAATGCTGCGCCTCAGGCGTCTGATTCTGCACCTTAGCCGCCGAATGTGGTTCAGCATCCAGCAGCCCGCAGCAGCCAGCAGCCCGCAGCAGCCAGCGGCAGGCAGCGGCAGCGAGCCGCCCGATTCGGCACCTCAGGCGCCGAATGCTGCGCCTCAGGCGCCGAATGCTGCGCCTCAGGCGCCTGATTCTGCACCTCAGCCGCCGAATGTGGGACCTGGTGGTTCAGCATCCAGCAGCCCGCAGCAGCCAGCGGCAGCCAGCGGCAGCAAGGCACCCGATTCGGCACCTCAGGCGCCGAATGCTGCGCCTCAGGCGCCGAACGCGGCTCCTCAGGCGCCTGATTCTGCACCTCAGCCGCCGACTGTGGGACCTGGTGGTTCAGCATCCAGCAGCCCGCAGCAGCCAGCGGCAGGCAGCGGCAGCAAGGTGCCCAATTTGGCACCTCAGGCGCCCGATTCGGCACCTCAGGCGCCGAATGCTGCGCCTCAGGCGCCGAATGCTGCGCCTCAGCCGCCGAATGTGGGACCTGGTGGTTCAGCATCCAGCAGCCCGCAGCAGCCAGCGGCAGCCAGCGGCAGCAAGGCACCCGATTCGGCACCTCAGGCGCCGAATGCTGCGCCTCAGGCGCCGAACGCGGCTCCTCAGGCGCCTGATTCTGCACCTCAGCCGCCTAATTCTTCACCTCAGCCGCCGAATGTGGGACCTGGTGGTTCAGCATCCAGCAGCCCGCAGCAGCCAGCGGCAGCCAGCGGCAGCAAGGCACCCGATTCGGCACCTCAGGCGCCGAATGCTGCGCCTCAGGCGCCGAACGCGGCTCCTCAGGCGCCTGATTCTGCACCTCAGCCGCCGACTGTGGGACCTGGTGGTTCAGCATCCAGCAGCCCGCAGCAGCCAGCGGCAGGCAGCGGCAGCAAGGTGCCCAATTTGGCACCTCAGGCGCCCGATTCGGCACCTCAGGCGCCGAATGCTGCGCTTCGGGCGCCGAATGCTGCGCCTCAGGCGCCTGATTCTGCACCTCAGCCGCCGAATGTGGGACCTGGTGGTTCACCATCCAGCAGCCCGCAGCAGCCAGCAGCCCGCAGCAGCCAGCGGCAGGCAGCTGCAGCGAGGCGCCCGATTCGGCACCTCGGGCGCCGAATGCTGCGCCTCAGGCGTCTGATTCTGCACCTTAGCCGCCGAATGTGGTTCAGCATCCAGCAGCCCGCAGCAGCCAGCAGCCCGCAGCAGCCAGCGTCAGGCAGCGGCAGCAAGGTGCCCGATTTGGCACCTCAGGCGCCGAATGCTGCGCCTCAGGTGCCGAATGCGGCGTCTCAGGCGCCGAATGCGGCGCCTCAGGCGCCTGATTCTGCACCTCAGCCGCCGAATGTGGGACCTGGTGGTTCAGCATCCAGCAGCCCGCAGCAGCCAGCAGCCCGCAGCAGCCAGCGGCAGGCAGCTGCATCAAGGCGCCCGATTCGGCACCTCAGGCGCCGAATGCTGCGCCTCAGGCGCCGAACGCGGCGCCTCAGGCGCCTGATTCTGCACCTCAGCCGCCGAATGTGGGACCTGGTGGTTCAGCATCCAGCAGCCCGCAGCAGCCAGCAGCCCGCAGCAGCCAGCGGCAGGCAGCGGCAGCGAGGCGCCCGATTCGGCACCTCGGGCGCCGAATGCTGCGCCTCAGGAGCCTGATTCTGCACCTCAGCCGCCGAATGTGGGACCTGGTGGTTCACCATCCAGCAGCCCGCAGCAGCCCAGCGGCAGCCAGCGGCATCAAGGCACCCGATTCGGCACCTCAGGCGCCGAATGCTGCGCCTCAGGCGCCTGATTCTGCACCTCAGCCGCCGAATGTGGGACCTGGTGGTTCAGCATCCAGCAGCCCGCAGCAGCCCAGCGGCAGCCAGCGGCAGCAAGGCACCCGATTCGGCACCTCAGGCGCCGAATGCTGCGCCTCAGGCGCCTGATTCTGCACCTCAGCCGCCGAATGTGGGACCTGGTGGTTCACCATCCAGCAGCCCGCAGCAGCCAGCAGCCCGCAGCAGCCAGCGGCAGGCAGCGGCAGCGAGGCGCCCGATTCGGCACCTCGGGCGCCGAATGCTGCGCCTCAGGAGCCTGATTCTGCACCTCAGCCGCCGAATGTGGGACCTGGTGGTTCACCATCCAGCAGCCCGCAGCAGCCCAGCGGCAGCCAGCGGCAGCAAGGCACCCGATTCGGCACCTCAGGCGCCGAATGCTGCGCCTCAGGC